ACTCGTTTGGCAGGACTGAGAAGGGTTTGCGGAACGGTCAATAGAGGTCGTGACTCTGAGTAAACGTGATTGAATCCAACAGCTAGCTCCCGCGTGAACTCTAGGTGCTGGGCTTGGTCTTCGCCGACTGGGACATGGGTGGTGTTGTAGAGGAGGATATCAGCGGCTTGGAGGACGGGATAAGAGAAAAGACCAAGTTTCAGGGCGTCTTTGTTGTTTGAGGGGTCGAGTGGGGAGGCATTAGCTGGGAGGGAGAGTTTGCTCTAAAGACGGTATTAATATTACGCCTCTCCAAGCCTGTTTTCTGCTGTCGCATACCTTCCACTGGGTCATCCGTCCCAGGTAGCCCATGCTTGCACCACAGCTGAGAATCCACATGAGTTCGGCATGCTGCTTCACGCTGCTTTGCGCAAATATGATGCATCTCTTGGGATCGAGTCCCACTGCTAGCAGACTAGCCAGCATCTCTTTTCGCCATCTTGCCAATTCACTGGGGTCCTGTTTTATCGTGACGGCGTGCAGATCGACTATGGAGAACAGAAGTGTGGTGTCCGGAGATGCTTCATCTTGAAGCCTCACCCACTGTCGCAGTGCGCCGAGATAGTTTCCTAGATGTGGTACTCCGGTGGGCTGGATTCCAGAGAATATCACCTTCTTCTGTCTGTCACTGGCATCATGTCGCCGTGGTGGAGTGACGGAGTACTTGCGCAGACAAGTCGAGCATATACGGAAAGGCGAGGGCGCTGCACGCTGCAGCGGTCGAAGTGAAAACATTGAAGTTGGACGGTTGGGTCAGAATCGGAATCGTTGTTGCTCAGCCACCAGAAAGCGCGGCCGGGGTCTTGTAGCGTCGTCATTGTGGCACTGCCGCCCGCCAACAACGACTCGACCGCGCCCAACCAGTAACTCCATCTCCATTGATTCCCGCGGCTCTCCCCACAACACCACGACTTTCCACTCACGACCCTGCTTCGTGCACACCCCGCTATACATCGTTTCTCCCCACACACCAGAGCGACCACACCGCAATCATGTCTTGGACCGGTAAGGAGCCCCTCGACGATGATCTAGGAAGCCGCCGGCTTACAAGACGCAGGGTTCAAGAAAGGCGTCAATCGCGCGACGACGCAGGTTCTTATGAAGACTGGCCAAGTCGAGCGCACAAATGACCGCGACTTCGAAACTGAGCAGCGGTACGCTTCTTCACCCGCAACCCGTCTTCTCCCTGCCAGGAAGAATACATGCCACATGAACATGAACAACACTAACGACATGCCAGCCGCTACCGCACCATGGAGACCGCCGCGAACAAGCTTCAGAAGGAAGCAAAGGGCTACTTGGACTCTCTGCGCGCCATGACCGCCTCACAAATGCGCATCGCCGAAACCATCGACGCCTTCTATGGAGATGCAGGAACAAAAGACGGCGTGTCGCGCTCTTACAAGCAAGCCGTGACCGATCTAGACGCCGAGACAATCAAAGCCCTCGACGGCCCTTACCGAACCACCGTCCTAGACCCCATTCAGCGATTCTGCTCCTACTTCCCCGACATCAACGCCTGTATCACAAAGCGCGAACACAAGCAAATGGACTACGACCGCATGCGTGCACAAGTCCGAAAGCTCACCGACAAGCCTGACAAGGATGTCACCAAGCTACCGCGCGCTGAAAAGGACGAACAATTGGCCAAGGCCGCGTACGACCAGCTCAACGATACCCTCACCACCGAACTTCCCCAACTTATCGATCTGCGAGTGCCCTACTTAGACCCAAGTTTCGAGGCGCTGGTCAAGATTCAGTTGAGGTTCTGCGCGGAAGCATACTCAAGAATGGCGCAGGTACAGCAATATCTGGATGCAAACACAAGAGATCAGTATGCACAGGGTGAGCTCGACGCACGGGTGGAAGAGGTGCTACAAGAGATCCGGGACTTGAGCATTGCGGGTACCGTATAAGAGGTTGGCGGAGACGACATGTTTTCGTGTTTCGTGTGTGGTAATTCTCTGCGGTGTCAGAATCATCGTTTTTGCGGCATTGATTTGGTTGTATAAGGACAAGCAAAGGAATTGAACCATGATTTCACTGTTCTCAATGATCAACGCCTTGATGTTGACGTAGCACATGCAAGGGGCCTTGGCTTGTCACTGCAATCCCCACTCATTCCGCGTATCGATAGTCAGCAGCTCAATCTGTCTTCGCTGATTGCATAACCATGCCACGACGTTGACGTCCGCTAGATCACCTCCAGGCTTCGTCCCATAATTAGGGCTTGATCAGAATGTAGACCTGATTTCTCAACAAGCAAACATAAGTGGCTTGCATCCTGCTGTAATGATGTTTGTAGGCACTGTTAGTAGAGTAGAGTGGCATTGGACTGAGTTTGGTGAAGAGGGTTTGATGATCTTTACAATACTGCTACGTGGCTTCTGCTGTGCTAGAACTGTTCAAGCGTGCTTTATGTCTTTGGAGACTGTGCTTGAGTACGGAGATTTACTAGATTTACTGCAACATCAAGCCATCGGCACGTTTGAAAGATCTGCTTTTGGGTTCAGTGTAAGTATCAAACATTACTAGTTATTGAATAAATGAATGATATGTATGGAGTGAAGAAGTTCAGAAGGCCGTTCGGAATAGACGACCTAGCCTGAGCAATTAAAGATCAGGGATGGAGTAACACGAAACAAAGAAACAAGAGCACAGAGTTCTTGAGACTATTGCACATATTGTCGTTGTGATTTGCTAATGTTTGTGTGGAAGCAACAGGATGTCATAAACATAAAATTTTTGAGATCATTTACAGAAACAACTAATTGTTCGTTCACTTACCAAGTCCAGATGTAACAAGAATCATAAGTTTCGAGCCTTTTACAACGTTGTTCTCATCCCCCCATTCACGTCGTGTGACGTACTTCCCATCTTCCAATGCAGTCATTGTCTCGCTAGATAAGTTAGTATTCATGTTTCAGTTCGCATATTGTGTACGCCTATGTGTTCAACGGTGTGAGGGGATGAATATGTGATTGATGCTTGTCAGAGAACAAGCCAGACTCGGATACATGATATTGCTCGCAAGCGATTCGCAGAAACCCACTGCCAAGGAGCGCAGTATGTTACCCAATCTGCTTCCTTATGGGCAAGTAATCATGAAACGTAAGGATACCTGCCTCTTCTTTCGTACATCGACACTGTCATGAATATGATCCGTTACTCGTAAGCCTTCGTCCATGCAGCGTTTCCAAGCCGCAACAGCCGCACGCTTTGAAAAGCCCGGTCTTTCCGTCTCCCGCACAGCAGAGGGCGTATTCCGAACTTCGTTTTTGTTATTATGATGTCGTCGTGCGGCTGTCAAAGAGGTGTTAAGCTCGCAACTGCTCTACGAGGCATGAGGCTTGCCAGCTGAGTCGGCCTTGGCGCGAAGGTCGGCGGCGGTGGAGCCTGATGCGGAGAAGTAGCGAGAGAAGACGGGCTGGAGGAAAGAGCGGAAGACCATCTGAGCACCACTGCAGATTGTTAGCTTACATCATAAGCGCCACGAGAGACACTTACGAAGTCTGGGGGAGGGCCATCCAGAGGATCAGGACAAACTTGAAGGTGTAGTAGAAGGCTGGCAAGGTCAGACGTAAATCGTGTACACTAATCCTGGTGGACTTACGGAACCAGTAAACAGCGCTTACAGCGCTCTCGAAAACGGTCAGGAACGCAAAGGTCACCCAGTACTGTAATATCACGTTAGCCTTGTTGTGGAGCTTGAAATGGTCACAGTATGGCCAAATGTCTTGCCAGCGATAAGAAAGTGGGGTATACGTACGGTCAACCACTGAGTGTCATCAACCTTGCTTGCGCTGAATAGAGCCTCGAGCGAGTAGTAACCGGGAATGATGAATCCGGCAATGTTGACGAGGAATTCTCCAGCAATGTTGAAGAAGATGAGGAAGAAGTAAAGGCCGGCAAGACCGAGGACCATGTAGACCTTGGGGACCGACGTTTGCTTCTCAAAGTTGTTGAGTGCGGGGTACTTGGACAGCTGGAACACAACATGGTCAGTATACGTGGTTTTGTACAAACACTATTGCGATTGCGACTTCTCATCAAAAACACCTATACAAGTCGTATTTTGACAATTGTGCCATGTGCGGAAGCGAGAGCGCTTACCTCCTTGTCGAGCTGCGACAGCTGGGCCTGGGCTCTATCCTGGACAGACATGTTGAGGGCTGTTTGGGGGTCGAGTGTGGTGGGTTGCAAAGGGTTGAGATGCAATGGATTATGGTGGAAGAAGCAGAGGGGCTGCAATGTGTTCAGTAGTTTGGGAGGAGCAGGAACGTGGAGCCTGGAGATTGTGGGATGGAGGAAGTGGGCTCGTCATCGCTAAATACGTCACCGCCTTTCACGAGCCAGCCAGAGCGCTGCAGTTGCATGCCGATGCGACAGAATCGCGAGCATCGTCTTGTGTTGCGACGAGGCCAGATCCCAGATGGCGACGATATTGCATTCACTCATCTCTTTTTCTCTTACATTGGCAATTAGAAAGTAGTGCGATTGCACGGGCGTTATGACGATAGTCATGTGACTATCATGGTCCAAGCGCGCCGGCCAGTCTCCGTTGCTGCAGGTGCGACCGAGTTCAGACGAAAGCGTAAACATCCAAATCTTATCCCATAACAAACCCGCTCGAGGGCGACCGACGACGCCGGCGACATCTTTTGGAGCTGGATATTCTTCCCCGGAGCATCCTACCACGTTGGTGACATCTTAGCCGACAGGACAACGTGTTGAGCTAGTCCCTGGCCCAAACAAACAAACCCGCCAACCCCGAAAACAAGCTGAGATTCGACCTACGCGCGAGCAGCTTCGCCAATATACTCCTTACACCTTGGTATCCCTAGAGTTCTCGTCGCTTGTTCTCTACACTCTCTCGCCTGTGTTGTCGCCATCTCCGTGCCGTTGCTATCGCATTGTTTTGGTGTAAACAGACGGAAAATCTGCCAGCCGGCATCCGCATCATGACCGACATCCGCCGATCACGATCAAATACGTCAATGTCTACTAGAAGTAATCGCCCTCTTTCTCGCGCGTCGACGACGAGCGTACATTCATTCGAGCAATTCCAGCAACCACAACAGCCGCGGCCCAGCCACTTTCCCCAACAACCACAGTACCATGCTCCATTCACGACCAGTGAAGCACTACAGCCTGCTCTGCTTCAGGCTGCACAACAAGTTAGCGCGCAGGACCAGCTTATCAACATGAGTTTGGAGAGTGTCCAGCAGTACCTTGGCTACCCAGCCGACCCGACCGCGAGCCACCCCCAATCGAGCGCCCAGCCCGCACAGCCAGACCACCACGCCTACCAGAATTCCCTCTCCCAACATTCACAGCATTCACAGCAACACAGCTTCATGGCGCCACCGATGGATACCGAAGACAAGAAGAAGAGGCCGTCAACCTCAGGCGCAGCTACCAATGATAAGGAACTGCGTCAGCTGTTGAACCAGAATGAAGGCCGTAACCTGAAGGAGGTTGCAGCTGAGGTTATCCAAAATGATCGAACATCCAAGGCAGAAAAGTCTAAACAGCTATTCGCCATGTTATGGTAGGTATTACGCGTCCATCTTGGAAATGTGCTAACGCTTCCCAGGTTACAGTCCGTCTGTCGTGTCGCGAAGACATCGGTCCCACGCAACCGCGTCTACTCCAAGTACGCAGAGCGCTGCGGTACTGATCGCGTTATCCCCCTGAATCCGGCGTCTTTTGGCAAGCTTGTTCGCGTCATTTTCCCTGGTATTCAGACTAGGCGCCTCGGTGTTCGCGGAGAGTCCAAGTACCACTACGTCGATCTTGAGCTCATCAACGACAACGATAACGGTGAAGAGGCACGTCGGGGCAGCAACGGTCCTGCTGCGCACCATGCCTTGAAGCGTCAGGCTTCAGGGACACCGAGACTCAATATGGAGTACGTCCATTCAACGTACCATGTCCGTGTATATGCTAACAACCTCTAGTGCCATCCCACGACTACCTGCAGACAGCGCACAGTTTCCTCCACGAGAAGCACGTGTGGAGTCACAGAGTAGCTATTACACTCCGGCCTCATCGCGCGGCGTTCTATTTACCGACATCTACTCGTCTCAGTTCCACCCTTCGCATACACGTACCAAGATTTCGTACGAGCACGAGCTCAAGTTCCCAACAGCAGACATCCTCGAAGCCCCTGATGCATTCGTGGTGGAGTTGCCGGATATCAAACCATACTTACCAGCACGCACCGATCCCGATTCTGCCGACAACCTTGTTGCTATGTACCGATCGCATGTTGTCTCGTTGGTGGACTCAGTGCGCTACTGCAAGGAGAAGCAATTCTTCCGCCTCTTTGGTACTTTCCATGGGACATTGACTGTACCGGTGCAGAAGCTCTTTGCTTCGCCCGAACTGGCGCCGTGGATCAAGGAGTGCGACTGGATGATGTACCAGAAGATGATCCGCAATGTCTCTCAGCTGACTCTCCAAGTGGCGCCGCCGCCAGTTCTGAAATTCCTCGACAACGTTGCGAAGACGTTGCACGCACACATTACTGCCAAGTTCGCGTCCCTCCCCGTACATGTACTTGAGGCAAAACTTGAACCTGCTACACTGTTCGCCCACCTTCTCCGACAGATGCTCCGCGTCAATTCCGCTGCGCACGCGGCAGCCGTCATGCTCACTGCAGAGAGCCACCGCACTCAGATGTTTGCCGACTGGCTCCAACACGTTAACATCAAACGCATCATTGCGAATGAGTTACCTGCGTCTTGTGCACACGAAGAAGTTTACAACATCCTAACCACTGAGATCCGATCGATGCTGGGTCCCCTCCCACAGGAGATCCAGCTGCCTTCTGGTTCGATACATCGTGCAGCGTACCCTGACCCACCCGCCGATCCATCAGAATCAGTTATTGATCGCATCGCCGCTTTTCTAACACGTCTACCATCCCGCTTCCCTGGTGCACACGCTCGTACAATAATGCACTGCATTAGTGCACTTGGTTCAGCTGCCATACGGGAGATCACTGTCGAGAATGGCATCAGTTTCCAAGGTTGGTGGCTTACCAAGGTCTTCGTGGACGAAATGGCACAATGGTTAGCATCGATAGGTGGTTTCCTCGGTCATGCACCGCCAGACTGGAGCTCCTCCAACTACTCGCCTGTAATTGGTGATTCTCTCAATGCCACCATGACCAACGGCGGCAGCGGTAGCAACAACGAAAGCCGGTATAGCAGCTTGGAAGCCGACTTCGGCCCAGATCAGTCTTTCATCTCCAACGCTAGCCATGTCACAATCCAGGATGCCGGGTCAAATCAGGAAGGTGAGTTTTTCCGCTCACAACATGGCCTCACATGGTAGTTGACTAACGCAAGACCATCAGTCAATGCTGGACGATTTGCTCAACCATCATCACAATACAACATGAGCTTTCAGTACGAGTACGACATGAATCCTTCACAACAAGAGCCGAACCACGACGATAGTGGCATAGGTCTTGGCCTTGGTGTACAGGAAGACGGTATTGACGCCAAGTTTGCGTCACATCTATCTTCAGCACTCTCACAGAGCGTCAGCTAGCCTGACCGTTCTTGCTTTTCGGACATCTTGATTACTTACCTATGCGTTCATGACGTCTCTGAAGTCACGACTAACGACTAACCGTGCTTGTCACGGCCTGTTAATATCTCTTAATTCCTTGTACTTTAGGGTCGCGGACGCAATCATGGATCGGTGTTGATTGGATTAGGTTGGCGTTCTTGCTTCCGCATTTCTGGGTTTGCAATACTGGCGTTATTGGGTGATATACCGCCTGCAAGGCCTGGGTTGGTGTTAAATGCAGCACTCTGCGATTCCTCCATGCAGAGTTGAATTGAATATTTACCTTAGGGTAATCGCAACGACATGCTTTCGTGACCAATTAAAAGAGGGCAAAAGCTTAGTCGCTTTCAGATTCACCAGGCGGGCCACAAAAACGTATCCCACCAAACCAATGACTAGAGATGCTATTGACGACTTTTGTCCGGGCTTCAGTGCGATTACTAAGAACACTTCTGCAAGGCAGGCATGGTACTATAATGTATATGCATTCGCTTCCACAAGTAAGTGCTTTCAATAGACACCCCTATAACTCATCCTCAATCTTGACTACGTCCATTTGTTTCCAACTTTAATGCTAACGTTTCACTTATGATTTGTAGCCCCGTCCGTTACACCAGCTGACATAAACATTCAACCTCTCTAAACGGTCAACGTCGGCACTCTACCGTTGCCGCTAGCACAACCCTCCTCAGTCGCCTGACCTCTTCGATCTGCGAGAAAGAGTTAGAACTTCGACATGCAGTCTTTGTCGATCGCGACCGGCCGTCGCACGACAAAGGATCACACGGTGCAGTCTCACCGCTCGTTCATTGGGTTTTAGGAGTCGCGATTACCTTGGCATGAGATGCCTACATACTTGGCGTTGTGGCGATATCTTAGAGTAAGGAGAATATCACTATAACCGCGCTTGCAATATGGTCGTTTAGAAATGTAATGAAGCAACATCATTCGATGATGCGGTAATATAAACTATGACTTAAAGGTAAAGTATCGTAACAAGAAGAATACTGCTAATCGTGTCGTGGTCGACTAAGCACTAGAAAATGGAAAAAACTCAGACTGACCCCCTTCATGCGCGGAACCGCAAGCACGAGGAGGCATTATCAAAATCCTACTTTCTTCCCCATGACCTCCTTTTTTTGCCAAAGTACGTCTTGCAGACGTCTTGGTTTGCACTAGCGTCTAGTCCTGCCGCGGAGGTCGGAACCCATTGCTTGTAGACCAGGTAACTGTAATCCCATCGTGGGTCATTGAGTTGTGTCCTCCATGTCCAGAAGATCCAGCCGTTGGTCTTTTCATAGAGTCTCTGCTGAGCGATGAACCACTGCTTGTAGAACGGAATGTTGTTATCGTTCTTCCAGTCAAATTCGGTAGTGTACTCATTGGCAACGGTAAGACTCCATTCTTGCACGATCTTGGGATTATCGCCATCGGTCTGACGGTTGTCTGTGTAGCACGTGTAGTACATGTAGTCACCTTGGGTGGCGCTGGGGTTGTTGGAGGTTACCGCTCCGCCGACGTAGTTGTGATCATCAAAGATTATCTTGGAGTCTGATGGGAGGTTGGACTTGGGATTGCCGGCACCCCATTGTGAATCCATAAACTGGACGTGAAGGCGCTGGTCATCGGAGATACCCAAGGAATTCTCAGCGTTGCGGACAGCAGCAAGAGCTTGTGGGTAGTATTTTTGCGTCAAGGTATCTTTCTCAGCCTGTGGCATACCACCTTTGTCACGTGAGGTCTGCGGCTCGTTGACGACCTCGATGATACCGACAGTGGCTCTATATGAAGGAGTGTTATGAATGCGTTTGGTCATCCAGTCGAGCCACTTTGTAGCGCGGTCGTAATTGGCTTGGGAGAAGAAGCCTGGAAGGTATGCTTCAGGAAGACACTGCAATAGACATAAGCATTGACTCAAGATAGATCTAGTACTCGAAGACTTACCTGCCCAGTGAACGCATCGCCCACCTTTTGCGAACCAGGTGCACCGTGTAGGTCAATGACCACGAACATACCCAGATCCGCAGCTTTCTGAATAACGGCATCAAGGTACTTCAGATCCATCTCAGGGAAGTGCTCGCCGCTGCCTACCAGGCTGTGAAGACTCCAGTATCCGATTGGAATACGAATGGTGTTCAGACCAGCATTATGGATATCTTGTATCATGCTTGGAGTGATCCAGCGAGAGTAATGACCGTTGAAAGCAGTGTTTGCTTGAGACTGGCCAAGCTTATTGACACAGTCGAATTCGGAGCAGGAGTCACCACAGCCCATGTCTGACCACTCTTGGTTCATCATCCATGGCTCTGACAGTAGCCAACCGCCAAGGTTGACTCCACGAATCTTCCAACTCGGAAGTGAATGGGCACGTTTGCTCAAATAGTTGCTGGTGCGGTTGAAGGCTGGAAGTTCGCGGTCCGCAGGCATCCAAGCCTGGACACCGGCTGCAAACAGACAGGTTAGAAGAGTTGTACTCTTCATGATGAGGCGGGGTTGAATATGGGGTATCTAAGTATAGAAGAGAAGTTGCTTTTTCCCACCTGAAACAGGAAAGGGTGCTCGGACTTGAACTGCTGGAATGAATGTCCAATTGCTTGACTGTTGCACTGTGCAACTGGAGGACTATATAACTTTTTCACGGATCTTCGACTGATCGTGCTAAGCGGCACGAAGACACCACGTCGTCAATCCACATGGGGCAAATTGCCAAAGGGGCTCCTGGCTGACGAAAGAGGCGCAAGGCCGGCCATGCAATCTAAGATACTTCACCGGTCCGGTGTTCGAGTTTGCAAATCATGATGGGGTTGCTAGCCCCCAGAATGGACCACATCGTCCGAGGATCTTCTGGATATCCTGTAAGCCGCTGAAGTAGACCAGGGTAGAGCTCATAACGTCGTATGAAAGCAGGCAATGGAGTGACATCGTTCGTTCTCCTTCACGAAGATCAGCTGTAGTAGTCATGAAGTTGATGTATAGTACGCTGCTAGCAGGATCAGGCGACCACGAAGACAATGCGAGGTGGAGCGACACGGCTCGTTCACTGGCGATTTGCCTCGTCGCCTGACACCACCACAGCTTCGTGAGGTTCGGAAGAGTTAGGAAGGGGCTAAAGATATTCTGGTACACGTACAGTCAGCGACCAAGTTAAGACCGTAAGAAGAAGGAGGTGTAACAAATCTTTCGGCTAAATCCAAGTCCGAAGAGCAGTGAATGTAGAATAGCTCTTATTCGCTACTAGCAAGAAGCGTGGAAATTGCGATGGCCTAACCGAACTGAGGCGGTTTCAAAACCAGAAGCGGAAATAAGCTATTACAAGAACTGGAGGTCTGAGAGTTTCTCCTTCACCACCCACATAGCGGCCCGTTGCGCGGATCTTTGCTCAAATAGTAGACACACCTCGCTAATTTGGACACCTTTTTGCTACTTCCCGTCAGAACAAAAGCTTCCGAGAAAGATGCAATACTAGCGGTTTGACCAAGTCGATACTATTATGAGATAATGTACCAAACTCATTACTTTCTCTCAGCTTCTCATCTGGGTAATGTCGGCGACCACCATCATTAGCACGATTACCATGAGTGTTCATACTCGGTCACCGGCACTGTCCTTCCGCGACGGGCCGTCATAGCGTTTAGGTTTCAAAACGGTTTTGTATCGACAGCGAAGAATGTGCAAATCTGCAAGTCATGCTTGTGGAAAGGCTGCCTAGTTGGTAACCCAACGGCTGCTACATGGCGCCAGTCGGGCATGCATGCCTCCTGCGATATCACCAGGTAACGCTTGCTCGATAATCAAGCTTCACCCCGCGGTCTCATGCACCAGCGTTCTAGATGAATGCTACTCCAGATGGCCAAGATGCAGACTACACTTTAGTTGGCAGAATTAATCTCGAGCCGCTTGCCTGGTATTCGCCCTCACCACTCAGGGCTCTGTTGCGGTCAACACAGTAGTCTAAAGTCACGCGCTTACCGCCGTTCCTCCGGGGGAAGGTATCCTGATCGTCCTCGTTACCAGTGTCAAGCGTGGTTTTGAGGTCTCGTGTTCGCCTGCCGTGGGTCTAAAGATCTGAAGCGTTAGCCTCGGCAAATATACTCAGTACTCTAACACCTCCATGCCGTGGTGTCGTATTAACCAGATGGAGGGTAGTTGTTTGTAGAGTCACGGATGGTCCCTGCAGGCGGGCGCTTAGGTAGGTTGTATGGGGAAAGCTAGACTAAAGGGGCAGGTTGGGTGTACCTGAGTCGTGTGACGTCACTTACTTGGCAGCACCGGGCAGATCTTTGCCGGTCGAGGCCGATTTCGATGTCTTCCCCAATGTGTTCCAGGAAAAACCAGCAACCTGGTCTGAGGACAACCAAGTCGATCAAGAGGGAGACTAGAAAGACCTGTAAATTCTAAACATCGTCTCATGACCTGTCGCAGATCCGTGACTGCAATGTCCTCGACGAATATCCGGAAAGATTGGCAAACTTTCTTCTTCTTCTTTTTTCCAATAGTTTATTGATGGCCTATTATGGCCATCGTGATCGAGTGGCGTCATCGAGTCTTCATCGTACACTCCATGGGTGTTATCAGTCGCGCAACGAGTGACGGATAACACTCGTCATTCGTGTTAGAATGGTCTCTGCTGCGAATGTTGAAAACCTTGTTATGGTTTCGGAGACAAGGCCAGTTTTCAGGAAGCTCACCACCATTCTTTCTTGCGGAAGATATGCCCCCTCAGAGCCAATAGTAAAATCCAATGTGAAGCGCTTGTTCCGAAGAGCAGTCTGATGTCCTCTCCGCTGACATCCTCACTCGATAGTTGGAATGAACTTTACGACAACCTGGAATGTCACGTTGACAAGGTGAGGTGAGAAACAAGGTTTAGTATCTTGTGTCCGGGAGTAACGCCTCGATGATGAAATACCAAGTCCGAAGCTTGATACCTCTCCCCATAATCGTTGTTAGTAGACTTCAGCACTATAGTGTGATATCAGTAAGAAGAGGATTGGTACTGTACAGAACTCATTATATCGCTTGACCTTCTGAAGAGACATCGCATGTTTGTTGTTGGTACGAGATAGAGCGCAGGTGGTACCTTGAGTGGTTGGCAGTCCTGTAAGGATGCAAGGCTGCTTGCGATATCAGTACTGCGAACACACGGTTCCTAAACCTCCAAGCGGAACTCCATCTCATGGCATATGAGCGCATTTCGTGTTCAACAGTTTACGCCACAGCGAGACAAGAGGGATATGGAGACTCTTGACCCTTTCATTAAAATATTGTGAGTCTACGCTGGGACGCGTCAGATTTCGGTATCATCCTGAGTTCGAGGTAATAGTCAATTCTCAGAGACGAAATATGGCGATGCACAAAATATCTTCCAGGCTTCCAAGAACGCTCGATTTGATGTCTGCGAGGAAGTAGACCCGGGAGATATGGAGTTCGGATAGATCGTTCGCACCTTTGGTGGTCTCTTGTAAGTGAAAGAGTTCTTGAGCGATGAATGTAGCGAGGAGACTGATGAAGACGATGATGCGATTGAAGAAGTTGAGTCGAAAGAAAACATGGCGAAGAGATGGAGACGGATGCAGAAGGGTAGGGAGTACCATATGACTGGTGGTTGTAACCTCCTGGCTTTATTATGAAGAGATGTTTGCTCGAGGACGCAGCTTGGATCCGCCATGTTACAAGGTCTGTAATCAAAGTTAGCGACTATGGCCACGTTACAAGACCACGTTCAGGTCGACCTTCCGATCCATATCCTGAAGAGTCTCATGTAGTTGCTTTGCTGTATTCTGAATCTGCGATAGCGGATTGACAGGCCGAAGAATCGGACCTTCTTGTCCGACACGAGACGTCATGACCGTCTACCCACAATGTTTTGTCGGTTGGACCTACCACTTCAAGATGCCGCGATAGCACTCATTACTCTTATGAAAATAACGTGATATAACAGGCAGCGTCCGAAGATGGTAGCTATTGCACAAGCGATGCATCAAACTGAATTGCCCAGAGGGCGACGTGCGTGGAGAAGTGGGTCAGACTAACTGAAACTGGCGCGATAGTCCCGCGGCCTCTGCTTATCGCGTCGATAACAGCGTTTGAGACCGCCAGTTGACAGTTGGAAATATTATAATGCAACAATGACTTATCTGATTGGCGAACGAGCAGCGGTTGAGTCAATAGACATACGTTTGAGATTGCCCTGCTGAGCCGTTGGGTCATTGATCTGTCACGAAAGTATAAAGACCCCGCTGGACCCTGATAGCTTCGAACAGTAAGTCTGCCTCAACGACCTCTACAACAACACATCTCTGCAATGGCCCTCGATCGACTGAAGCAAGCAGCGTCACACATAACGGGAATTGGAGAACCTCCACACCCGTTCGATCCCTTGAGTGAATCCGAGATTGAGCGCGCAGTCGCTATCATCAGAAAAGAGCACAGCGATGTGTTCTTCAACGCCATCACGTTGTTGGAACCGCGTAAGACGGAGATGATGAAATGGCTAAAAGACCCCGAGCACACACCACGACCACATCGAGTTGCCGATGTAGTCTGCATTGGCCGCGGAAGCAAGGTGTACGATGGACATGCAGATTTGACTGAAGGCAAGATTGTCACATGGGCATTGACTGATGACGTGCAACCACTTGTAAGTCGAGAAGAAAACTCAATGCACGGGACCCTCCTTTGACCTAGATCCAGATTACTATGGAGGATTTGCAAATAGTAGAGACGATTGTGCGGAAAGATCCGAAGGTTATCGAACAATGTGGCATAATCGGTATCCCACCGGCGGACATGCACAAGGTCTACTGCGACCCGTGGACTATTGGCTACGATGAACGCTTCGGCACCAAAGTCCGTCTTCAGCAAGCCCTCATGTACTACCGTCCACACGTTGATGACTGCCAATACACGTACCCGTTGGATTTCTGCCCTATCTATAACTCCGATACCCAAGAGATCATTCACATTGATGTTCCACCAGTCCGAAGACCTCTCAACCAGGCTCCACCGAACAACTATCATGCAGCTGCTATCGAAGCCGAAGGTGGGTTCAAGACCGATTTGAAACCCATCAACATCACACAGCCGGAAGGCGTCTCATTCAAACTTGATGGGCGATATATCAGTTGGGCGAACTGGAAGCTGCATATTGGCTTCAACTACCGCGAAGGCCTAGTCCTGTCCAACATCACGTTCAACGATAAAGGCACTGTTCGCGATACCTTCTGGCGCCTCTCACTTGCGGAGATGGTGGTGCCGTACGGTAATCCAGACCATCCACACCAGCGCAAACACGCCTTTGACCTTGGAGAATATGGTGGCGGATACATGACCAACTCGTTAAGCCTGGGCTGTGATTGCAAGGGCGCAATCCACTACATGGACGCAGCATTTGTCAATCGCGCCGGCCAGGCAACGACCATTAAGAACGCTATTTGCATTCACGAAGAAGATGCCGGTATTCTGTTCAAGCACACAGATTTCCGCGATGATAGCGTTACTGTTACTCGTGCTCGCAAACTCATCATCTCACAGATCTTCACTGCTGCGAACTACGAGTACTGCGTATACTGGATCTTCCATCTAGATGGAACCATTCAACTGGAGATTAAGCTTACCGGAATTCTGAATACATATGCGATGCTACCGGGCGAAGATTTGAAAGGCTGGGGAACGGAGGTCTACCCTGGCGTGAATGCGCATAACCACCAGCACTTGTTCTGCATGCGTATAGATCCAAACGTGGACGGCCCAGAGAACACTGTGTTTATGGTGGACGCAGTACGTGGCGAAGGCGAAGTCGGCAGTGCGGAGAACAAGTACGGCAACGCCTTCTACGCGAAGAAGACAAAGCTCAGCACCCCTGAGCAAGCGGCGACTGACTACAATGGCGCCACGAGCAGAACATGGGAAATGACCAACACCAATAAGCTCAACCCGTATAGTAAGAAGCCGGCTTCTTATAAGCTGGTGAGCAGGGAAGTGCCTGATCTGCTACCCAAGCCCGGAAGTTTGGTGTGGAAGAGAGCGGGTTTTGCGAGACATGCAGTGCATGTCACCAAATGTAGGTCTCATCTGGAGATCGCGTACAAAGACATAAACTAACGTTTTGTAGACGATGACACGCAACTCCACCCAGCAGGCCGTCACGTCCCGCAGACCTCTGGCGAACCGTCTCAAGGCATCCCCGCCTGGATCGAGGCTAACCCCCACGAGAACCTTGACAATACTGATGTCGTCTTGTGGCACACATTCGGAATTACACATTTCCCATCGCCAGAAGACTTCCCCATCATGCCTGCTGAGCCGATGACGCTGTTGCTGAGACCTCGCAATTTCTTCACACGCAACCCTTGTATGGATGTTCCCCCTAGCTATTGCAGCGTTCCGAGCGGCGTCAAGCAGGGCAGCACATTGGTAGATAAACTTTCTCGCCTGGCGTTTGGAGAGGAGAAGAAGCCTGAAAGCACTGCTGCTTCGACCTGTTGCTCGGATCAGAAGTTTGGAGCAGGTGTGTAGTCCGAGTATGTCATGTACGTTTAATATATAGTGTGAATGCAGCATTTACTTCCGCTAAGTGTTCGTTGCGTGTCTTTACGCGTAAGAAGTTCATATGTGCCGCCCCGGCAGACCGTCGCAGTGTGCTCCATGCCTTGCTATGTCGGCAATGCGCGGCGATGCACCAAATGACGTAGCCCACAAGAGCTGTCCGCGGGTCGTTCCGATGGCAGGTCCAAGCTTCCACCGAGTCCACATCCGATAACTTCTCTCCCCCACGATTGTTGGCGGCGTCTGCACCACCGCGTGACAGCAGCCATGATATAGCATCCTTTACTTCACCAACACAGTGCCGTCCTGATCCTAGCAAGTCTGAGGATGTTCTTGCCGGCTTCGACTGCCCACCATCCGAGCCCGCAATGCCCCGCGCATTTCCACCCGTAGAGCAAAATGATAAAACGAAACGAGCAAACGCGCCTAGGAGCCCTTTATCAGCATCTCTTGTTGAGAGCATAGCCGGATTCAGCGCCGGTGTCGTCTCTTGCCTCGCCGCACATCCACTCGACTTGTTGAAGAACCGACTGCAGCTCAATACACAAAGCCGATCGCGACCTGGTGACTCGTATCGAATACTTCGAAACGTCATCAAAGACGAAGGGGGCGTACGCGCATTGTACAGAGGGCTATGGCCAAACTTGTTGGGCAATAGTCTAGGCTGGGGCTTGTACTTCCTCTTCTATGGCAATCTGAAAGAACTATTCCAAAGTAGAAGGCAAAAAGGAGAGCATCTTGGGAGTGCTGAGTTCTTTTCCGCGAGCATCATTGCTGGTATGTTGAGGAACGGTACTCTGATGTGCCTTACTGACTGTTTGCTAGGCCTTCTCACTGGTGCTTGCACAAACCCTATATGGGTAGTGAAAACCCGTATGCTTGAGCGCGGCGCGAATCATCCCTCTGCATACAAGTCGATGACCTTTGGTCTCCGTCACGTATACGAAACTCGAGGATTGACGGGGCTATGGGCAGGCTTTTTGCCTTCGTCTCTGGGTGTACTACATGGTGCAGTACAATTTAGCATTTATGAGAATATGAAGAAGAGACGGGGAACACACATTGGCGGGCAAGATAAGCTAAGCAATTGGGAGTACGTCTACATGAGCGGCGGAAGCAAACTACTAGCTGGAGCGATCACGTATCCGTATCAGCCAATAAGAGCGAGGTTGCAACAGTACAATGCCGCTCAGCAGTACAACGGACTGCTGGATGTGCTTAGGAAGACTTATCAGAACGAAGGATTCCTGGCGTTCTACAAAGGGTAAGGAATTCCTCTGCATTCTACACCTGATGTACAGCGAAGCTAACCTTCACAGTGTTATTCCCAATACGCTGCGAGTTATCCCAACCACTGTCGTCACGTTCCTGGTTTACGAAAACACCAAATTATATTTGCCAAAGGTCTTTGACGACGACGAGCAGCAAAGCCACGACGAAGACTAGGTCATAGAATACGCGCACGCGGTTGCCTTCTTATCACTAGCTTATGATACGATATCTGCCTCTGCAATGCGACCGCTGTAGACAAAATCGACACTATACGCTTGAAAGCTGAAAGCGCGTTACGCGTGTAAATCTCGTGAGATATTTCGAAGTAGACGTAATGATTCATTGGTGAAAGAAGGCAGTAGCTGCGCAGTATCAGCATTCACCCAGTTGTAATAAAAGGCGTTTGCGTATCTGCATAGCCTCTAATCAAACTTTCAGCCTGGCACAAGCGAGTTCCCCGCTTCAGTCGCAACCGCAAGTATTTGCGAGAGGCTCAAATCTCTACTACTCAAGCCCCATTATAGAGTTGAGCTTCTGCGCGGTCATTCACGTCTTTTTCAACTTTCTTTTGCATGTCAATAGATCCTTTTCATGTGGTAGTGAACCCCATGAACACTGAAGCTTACGAATAGCAGTGACGTTTCTCCACACGAAAGCCATATCGAGTTTACATACCGACCGCAGCTCCACCTCAGCCGTATTGTAACCGCACCGGACAGGCACCATTTTACTGCTAGCACCAATGAATCCACCAAACAAGCTTCCACAGCGTAAGCCATCCATACTCGGGATGCACAACAAGTATCGATCGGCACATCGCACGCCACCCGATAGCATATATCCTTCGACTTCCACGTCTTCTCAGCCGTACAACTCTTAGCCTCAACATCGTCACCTAGGTCTGCGTAGTTTCTTCAGCAAGCCACACGAGCCAGAAGCACAGTCTCCAGTACTCACGTCTCCTTCGTCGTCTTCAGCAATGCCACCGTCTCTGCCTCTGATCCCAAAGTTTACCAAGGCATTTGTCAACGCCTTGAATTCTTCACAACTCTGCGATTTCCTTACTTGGTTGTTGTATCATGATATTGTTGAACTTCCCGAAGTTCCTGAGGCTTGGTACAAATGGATCAGTAACATGGAGAACACTCATTCGCGTGCCATTGGCACTTGCCAAATGCGCTCGCAATACATCACCACTAAACATCTCATTTGCGCTGTCAATGTTCAAGGATCGGAAGTAAACCGAACACTCACTGATAGTAGAAACCGCAAGGTCTGATTCCACACATGACGAACATGTACATATCATTCGTATGGCGTCATCCGTAGCCTCTCCTATCCTAACGCCCAAAAGGTTTTCCCGTTTCTCGTTTTGTACATGAAGACTATGGTCGTGACGCTTCCCTGCCACCTTGTGTCAAAAGCTCACGTATTCGTTTGTTGAGGATAGTTGTGATAACAGCTTCAATGAGACAAGAAACGGCGAGGGGGCAACTTGGAATCATCTCAACAAAAGGAACAAAGATGCCATGAAGCGTGATTGCGAGAAAGCACACAGTTATGCGCTTGTGGCGTTACGAGATTTGAGTCCCACCACCCTATTGATGCGAGTCAATGATGGGTAGGAGGATGAATGGCGCGTCGCGGTTGGACGCGACACAAGTGAAGTTGGCGAAAGAGACAAGACACGTGTTAGCGCGCATTTGTTATCGATAGTAATCCCGGGGAATTATCCAACTGTCCTCATCGCCCTCCACCCAAAACCACAACTTGCGCGAACTTGACCTATACGCCAGCCACAATTCATACGGCCCTAACCCTACGAGTTTGATACACAACAAGCACATAGTCATCATGGAGTCACCGGATACTTTCACACTCCTACCTCTCGAGATGGACCCCAATACCACTGAGATCACCGCATCCCAGAGCCTTAGCAACGCCCTCGAGACCGAGCTAGCCGCTCTGAATAATCTGCACAGAAACCTGCTTCAAGTCGAGACACCCACAGGCACGCCCCCACCACCTGTTCCCGTCAACCCCAAGCGTTCCGCTCAAATCAATAAGCTGCGCGAGTCGGGCAACGCCGAATTCAGGAAAGGAAAGCCCGAGGAGGCAGGCAAGTTCTATACTCTCGCGGTCGATATGGCGCTCGCTCGCCCGGCATGGGAACCCTCAGGTCTGGTGAGAGAAGAGGTCTCCGGGCTGCTGAGCAACCGCGCACAGGCAAATATGGCACTTAAGAACTGGGCAGAGGGCGCCGTGGACGCAGAGGCTAGCGTGGAGATGAAGAAGGTCGGCAATGCAAAGGCCTGGTGGAGGCGGGGCAAGTGTCTGCTCGAGATGGGCAGATTGGACGAAGCGGCGCAATGGGTCAAGCAGGGCCTGGAATTCGAGGCTACCGAGCAAGATCTCGTGAATCTGAAGGACGAAATTGAGAGGAAGCAGAGAGGTGAATCTTAGGGTGTTCTCGGTAGGAGACTGTAATGCGCATCACCCATGTTTGGGTTTACAGCCTCATCGCTTTTGGTATTTGGATTAGATGAGGGTGGGGGAGACGTGGTCAACTGATGAGACGAGGGCTCACCTTGAGCATCTCTATGACGCATGGAGAGACTTCGTGCATTTTGGCCCCTTTGCACTGAGCGCAGAGGGAATGGGCATTGGCAAGGCGTTTGGCGCTGGAGGTCGTATACCAGGATTACAGAGCATCCGAGTCTTCAAGGCTTTGGGGGGTATTCATAGAGACTCCAATCAGAAGCAAATCTCTACAACCTGTATCATCTCTTGTAGATCGCAAAAACCCCCTGGCTGCGTAGGATCAAGGGGTATATACAAACACGGATGGACTCGTATTTGACGTGTGGATGTGGGTGAGAGCGACGCCGAATTAGTCCCAGGCTTCTGCACTGCTGCCACGCGTCGAGTTTGAGCAGATTCGTGCTCAAGCGCTATTAAATTTTCTGCGACCGCATCTTTGGTCATATAGACAGAAACGTCTCAATGTCCCAATATCGTGTGAACCTTCTTCCGTCGATCCACCATGAGTAGCCTGCATTGCCCAAGAGGCTAGATTTCATTCTAGCATCTGATAAGACGATCTGATAAAAATTCTTTTTGTTGCGCCTTGCCGTGTTGGGATTGGCGGTGCGAGCCGCTTGTCGGGCTTCTACCGCTGTTGGACTGGCCAGAGAGCAACATGATTCTGCGAAAAAGACAAAACTAGATGTTTGCAGTACACAAAACGAGCAACGCGTTAGAAGAGAATCCGGCATACCAAATCAGGTTCGCAACATCTCATAGCGGGTGGTATCGTATCCATCTAAACGGGTAATCTTCCGGTGATATCAGAGTCTCAACGCGTGCGCAGCGCACAGTCTCGAGCGGTGGAGACAGCCTACAGGATATTCTACCTCCTAAAAGGCCCGTAAGCAACCCGGTTTTTGGAACTATGGAGCGGAGACACGAGGTTTTCCTTCCCGCTCGGCAGTACTAAATGGAAGATAGGCGCCGCTCAAAATGTAGGAATATTTCTTATTTTATCTGATCATCTCTTGCTTGCAGTGACCAGGGACGATGGACGCACGGTCCCCCTCTGAGCGTCGCCATGACATCTCAGCAGATAACGGTGGGCGGGAGCCTTCTATGTCCGAGAAAAAGGCTGGAGATGTGGTCGTAGCATCGAGTGAAGCATCGACCGGTGAGCGTGATGGCAGTGATCGGAGCTCAGCGATCCCGCTGAAGATGAAGCTCATTGCTATTCTCTTGGTTACCGCAACTGGATTTGGTTCACACTGGAGTAGTGGTGTCACAGGCGCGATGAAAAGTACTGTAAAGAAGGTATGAACAGTATAATGCTCTCATTACAGTTACATCAGCTGACATGGAGAAGGAACTGCATATCAACAACGCTCAGTATTCTGTGCTGGAAGCCAGCGAGGACTTTATGAAAACAGCTCTAATCCTCGTGAGCGGTCTTGTCACCGATAGGATTGGTGGTGCAAGTTTGTCTCTCCTCTACCTATCCAACCATGTCTTGACGCTGACTGTACACCTCAACAGGCGCCATGCTCTGGGGCAATGCCATTTACAGTATAGGTGCCATTTTTATTGCAGCCGCCACCACCGTCCGATCGTACAAATTCATGATATTCGGGTCGATCGTCCAGGCATTCGGAGATATCGCCACGCAAGTCGCACAGTACAAAGTGTTCAGCTCCTGGTTCGCGCCATCCAACGGCTTCGCATCGACTCTTGGCTTTGAACTCGGTATTGGCAAGATCGGATCTTTCGTTGGCAAGGCTACAGCAAACGTCATCGCTAAAAACACAGGTGACTTTAGCTGGGTGTACTGGGTCGCTGTTTTCATGAACCTCTTCACTAACGTGACGACTCTCCTTTACTGGGTTTTCACGCGATGGTGCGGCAAGAAGTACACCGGCACAGCTGACCCCGCGACCGGCGAGAAACTCACGGAAAGCAACAAGAAGTTTGAGTTTGGAAAGGTCTTCCGGCTTCCCTGGACCTTCTGGAGTATCGTCGCTTTCTCACTTTTCCAAACCAGTACCGCATCCGTCTTCGCTCAGAATGCAACGGAGTTCGCTGAGCAGCGCTTCGACATGGATGCCGTCAAGGCAGGGTGGTACTCCTCGCTGGCGCAGTATCTAGGATTCTTCCTTGTTCCGATCATCGGCGTCTTCGTAGACATTCTAGGCAACCGTATCACCCTTATGCTTGTCTGTGGGCTGGGCATGTTGCTATCAATGTGCCTGGCGACATGGGGCCCAACGTTCTCTGGTACGGCAGCTTCGTTTGGTATATACGGTGTCGCATCTATGTTTGGCCCGACCGTCATCATTGACTCAATTCGCACTTCCATGTGGTACCAAGAAGTCTTTGGTTCTGGATATGCCGTCAAGATTGCAGTCAACAACGCCATGTCTATCATCATCCGTATCATCACGGGAGTTATCCAGGATCGTGACGACAACTCTTACGACAATGTCGTTGTTGTGTATGTCGTCCTTTCCGCGTGTTCGGTTGTGGTAGCAGCGAGCATGTTCGTCGGCTGCTTTTGGACAAGTGACCTTGCACAACTCCAGTGGACTAGGCGCCAACGTATCACGAAGGGCGAGGTCATCAACGTGCGGAGAGAGGAGTTTAAATCGGGAACTTCTGGCCAGAGAAACAGGAAGATCAGTATGTCTTTGTTCATTGCACTGTTGTTCTTGGTGGTGGGTTCCTGGGCGGCGTACTTCTGGGGTGTTGCGACTGGAAATAACACCTGAGGCATTAAAAGCTTGCCCTACTCATTCATGTATTTCTACACAATGTTGAACCCTTCTAGGGAACTCAGACAGAGCAGCACTTTTTGTATATCTCAGTTCAGGCCGTTGGGGCGCGATCATCTAGTTCACATGCTGTGATCGTGAGGGGAGGGGGTGGTGAGTAACTCCAGTGCATCTTCTGGTGCCACCCATGACACTGAAGCAGCAATCTGACCATTTTCAGAACATCATGACAACAAACAAAGAATCAACGTTGCATATTCGCGACTTTCATATCCAGCTGTGACTGTGTCCGCTTACGCAATTGCGGGACCATCAAGAGCATACATACATCCAAGCCCCCTAGAAAACTACTCGTCCAAATCCTGCAAAAGCGAGATGAACGTAATGCAACAATTTTCCATAGAATTGACATTCGCGGTCATCTCGTGTCCATCAATAAGCATACTTGTACTCGCATTTCTCTCTTGTTATAAAGCGGCAAGAAGGTTGTCGTGCAAAACTTCGTGGGATGTGATGCGGTGGGCTTGGCTTGTCTTTGACATGTATCGGTATAGTTTTTGATGAGGGTATCTCTGATCCTGACCGCGTCTACACCCTCTAGATTGCAGAGCCTGGTGAGTGTCTTGGTGTTGATGATATGGTTCATAGCCTTCTCCAGGAGTTGACGGTCACCGTCCGATTTGTTCTTATCATCGGAGTCGGCATCTGGCCCATTGCCAATAGGCTTGGACGCGACAGCCGGCCCTGGGGTTGAGGATGGACTGAAAATCGGAACAATGGGCGGCGTAGGCTTCACGGCGTCGTCGAGGGGAGACATGTTAGGCTTGCGATAGTGAGGGGATGCGTTAACAATGTAGTCCCTTGAGAAGGTTGCAGTGTGTGCATTGTTGCCGGCTTGGGGACAAGAGGTCACGGGCGAGTTTGAATATACGGAGCTCTTCTCGTGTTGAGCAACTGCCTCACAGATGTTTACCATTGTTTCTGCTCCCTAATCTAACTTCGCTCTACCTTCACCACGCGAAGTCGCTGCTCCTCGATAACAGACGCAGTGCCCTGGTCGAGTGCATCTTCCTCATTTTCTTGATTGCTATGGAATGCACGTCGAATTCCTGTGTAGCACATGGCATCCTCGGTACTCGTGAAGTTTCATCAAGATGAAGTCGATATCCCACAAATACTTAGCTTACCATGTTATCGGAAGGAGCTGCGAGTGTTGTCACGGATGCATCGGTTCAATCACGAACCCTGGAAGTGGGCGTATAACGTAAGAAGCCGAAGCAGGCCCGTAGAGCCGGGATGAACGACTGGAACCAGGGGAGATGGACTGTTTCACTGTCTGGGGGCCCCATCTGACGGTAAGCGTGGATATTAGTCGCATGTCGTTGCTCAGCGAGCGATGGAAGCGTCGATGTGCATGGAGATTTGCAACTGTGTGATGCAGAGCAATCATCAGCCGTGGGATGAAGGCAAAAGCCTCACCGCCACGGGTATATCTGTGTATGGGCTCACGCGGAGGCTGACAGTAGTGACGTAGTGAGTGGTTGCCGGCACATTGCGGGGATAAAGACAGTAGTGAGCGAGTTTGCACATTGGCATCACCGTCTCAAATGGCATCAGAAGTCGCGACGCAGGTGCAAAGTGCCGACATGCGTGCGCAGAAACGCGGCATGATGGTTCGCGAGGAAAGCAGGCCGATGCGCTGGCGTGGTTACAGCAGTCATCAATACGAGGTGGTCAGCCAAGACGAGGGAATAAAGTGCTGACGAAGAGGCGATCAGAGAGGCGTCGGGGAAGAGGCTGGGATGGGAAAGCTTGGAGGAGTTGTCGAGGAAGTGGCGATGCGAGTCGAGCGAGCATGTGGCAGGCACGCCAGGCCGGATAGGGAACAATCACAGCGTGGCTGCAAGTGATGCAAGTGACGGACGTCTTGGTGAGGGATGAGCGGCATCGACGGCCATGGACATGCCGACCGCGAAGGCTGGCCCTGGGGCGTGTCAGGCGCCGTGCAGGCCGTGCAGGCTCTGGGCTTCTCAGCCGCTGAGGTCGTCTTCGCCTGGAGGCTAGCGACTTGCCCATCACAACTTTGTGTCTCGAAATCATCGGCCCGTGTCAGATAGTGCAGATAGTGTTGCCGAACCGGTTGTTAGTGGCTTCTCGCTGTCTTGACAACTTCTAACTGGTTACCGATACAGCGGTTCGCCTGCTGCATCAACTGAGCGAGCGACGCCTGGGTCAGTCTGCTACAAGCGGCGCCCACACAGCGACTGTTGAGCAGAAGCAAGACTTAGCGCTCGCGCCTCTGTCGTAGGGTTTAACCGCTGCAGCCCCAGTATCACGTACAGTCCAGGGGAGTCGCACACCGAAGCCCCCCTTCGCAGCGCATCGCCGTGGAGTAGCAGCCTCGCCCTCATTGGCCGGGGATGCAGTAGCGCTCGCCGGTGGGCTGGAAAGAGGGAAGCATCTACCCAGCACTCTTGGCGGCCTTCGACCCGCGAGCAAAACTTCGGTCCCTCCCTCGAGGTCCCGACCTTCTTTGTCTCCTGATGCACTCGCGCGGTAGCGAAGACACTTTGTTGTTGTTGTTGTTTTGCGACTTTCCCTCACGACTAACGGCCGAACCCCAAACCCGCTCCTCGACGACTCGCAACACAATCAATTGACGAGATCGACGCCTCACCCCTCTCCGCCCAGGGCTCAAACCACCGCGTCCACCACCTGCCGCCCTGCCCAACGCGCTCCCTCCCTGCGCCCACACCACGTCCTGCCTGAGGGCCTGCCCCAATGGCCGTCTTCGAGAGCAGTGCAGTCCCGCCTCCCCTCGCTCGTGTCATGCGCGAGTTCGAGGAGCTCGTCAAGAGCTTCGAGACTGGCCTGCTGCGGTCGCTAGAGGACCACGGCCACGGCCTGGCTGCCAAGGGCAGTAGTCCGCGCGACGACGTCCGTCGCGAGGCCTGCCGACTCGCCATCTCCGACCTCAGCAGCCAATACACACCCAAGTACATCCGCCGGTCGCTCGATGCAGCCGAGCTCGAGGGAAAGCGTGTCGAGGACCAGCTGCAGACCCTCTCGCTCAGCGGACATGCCCAAGACGACGAGAGCGACCTGGGCAGCCTGCACAATGGCTACTTCCGCCTCTACTCCACAGAGCTGTTCGACTTGCTCGGCCAGCCCACCGACTTGCGCTTCGGCACCCTGCGCTTCCACAAGGACAACCTGAACCACCACGAGATGCCCTCGCAACCACACTCCCCTTCGCCTCACGTCACCATCGAACTCGCTCTCAACGAGTCCTTCTTCGTTGCCGACTCGGAAGAGACGCTCCCCTACCACACGTTCCGCCTCCCCACAACACCTTCGCTACGGAATCGCGGCATACGTAGCAGGAAGTTTGACGAGGAAGGTACTTTCCCAGAGTACGACTCGTGGCTGCTCTTCACTTTTCTCGGTAACGGCTGCATCAAACTCGAGGTGCCCATCGAGATGTGCGCAGACGTCTACGGAGGTAGTCTGCGCGGACGGGAGAATCAGGAAGTTCTCTTTTGGGGATTCTTCGTAGACGACGACGAATAGCGTCACATCACATATTTGCTTGGGCTGGAGTTGGTATCAAGAGCTAGACAGGGCTTGGCATTGGAGTTGGGCGCAAAGGACTGGCCTGGTCGGCCGCCGGAACGGGTGCTTGGACATGCATTCACGACTCACGAATCTCCTTAATCACATCTTCTTCTCTTCCCATCCCCACTGCGGGGCCATTATCTCCCTCACTTTCGGCCCAATCCTTCGCATTCACTCATTCTTTTCAAGTGCGTTCAGGGCGGCATTTTGCATAGCATTTTTTTTTACAGTATAATCCTCAAAAGGCCAAAGACGAGGTAGATGATAGAGCGCATAGCGCGACACAGCATTGGTACTCGATAATACACACCGACGGACAAATCACATGCGCCGGATAAACCTTCTGCCGAATCTTTGCCTATTGCCTTTTGTGAAGTGCACCCAACTTTGCATCTGCATTATCCTCTTTTCGGTCATCGATCCTTCGCACCATGGCGCCCGCCTTGCCCGAAGCAGCCGCAGCATCTGCGAACACATCGACTCTTGCAAACACAGGATTCAGGTTGGGCGAAGAGCAACAATTTTCAGATGCGAGCGACAGCGACCAATCACAGACGAGCCAGCGAAGCGCCTCCCCGAGGCGAGCAAACGGCATGGGACCTGCGACCAAGTCGAAAAAGAAAAAGCAAAAGGACCGACGCAAGATGGGCGCACTGGCTGATGAATTAGTCGACGTCTTGGGTGACGCCTTTTCGGCACCCCAAGCTGACCTGCAGACTGGTATGTCACGTGTCGGGGCATTGTTGATCCAACGTCTATTAATCCTGCGAGCACTTGCTTTTCTTTCATGCTACCGGGGTGGGCGAACCTGACATCACATGCAGGCTCGGTTCAGCAACCAAACGGTGACCAGACTATGGCAATCGATTCGGAGCCTACGGGCAAGAAGATGAGTGCGTTGTCCCACTATGGCTTCCCCTTCACCGTCATACTAAATCTCTCTAGACAAACGCACTCGTCAAAACCTTGCCAGAATGCAGGCTCGTAAAGAAAGAAAAGTGGCTAATCCCAAGATGGACATGTCGGAAGACAAAACACTACAGGCTCAGATCGTGGCTGCGGAGCGGAGAGGCATGTCTTTAGACGAGTACCGAAAAATCAGCAGTGGCAAGGGCATGTCCAAGGCGGCTGCACGGAGAGCAAAGAAAGACGCCATTAGGAGAGAAAGAGCGGCTGCACCAGTGGATGAGATGGATATCGGTTAGACACACAAGGGTCTTAGTGGTGGCTTGACGGCAAAGTAAAGTTGCGGAGACGAGATGGAGATCACGAGTGAACACCGAAAAAGGTCAGAGCAGAAACCTTTCCCCATGTTGTACGCTTTGGGACGCAATGCATACACAAGATGCAGACGAAGCGCCACTATCGTACTAGGTCGACTTTGCCAAGCCCATATACTCGTGTCCTGCTAGCGGCACTGCGTGAACTACGGTTCCCCTGGATCTGAAGTTTTGCAGAAATCGGTCCTAGTCTTTGTCAGCTCTGTCTATCTCGCTTAGAGAAACTGTAGGAAAATCTATCGTCCTTGATGCGAAGCCCGAAGTGATACTTCACCGCATATCTCGGCGCGAGAAAAGAAGCAAACAAGAAAAACAAAAACAGTTCAGCGTGGCTACCCATCTTGTTCACCTCTCTCTGTTTTAGCCTGAAACTGTCCGGAAATCACTCCCAATCATTATTTCAATCCTTCTCCCCCTACACGGCCACGATCAGCAATCTAGCCAGGTCTGCACCAAGAATCCCACAAGTGAAGAACAAAACATCTTCACAAAAAGTAACATGTCGCATGAAAACACCTCCAGGGCTGCATGCAGATCTGCATCGCATGAGCCACCTTGACCCTCTTTCCTACATATACGGATGCCGGCGACTCCGCTCCACAGACGTGTCACCAAGCCGAATATAGTTTGAGTAGAACTATTTGGAAAACAAAGCAAGCTAGACGTTACATGGCAGGTGTCAGACGGAACAAGGCAGGATAAAAGGGTGGCGTTGCATTGAAGATGACAATGGAAGGTGAGATGTACTTGGGTGGGAGACCTTGTGCTTTTAATTGACCCTGATTTGCACGTCGCAACTTGTGCTACATGAAAACAACACTCCAGTACGGGATTTATCTGAAGCAAGAAACATAACGTGGATAGCAGTAGTACTGTAGTACTTGTAATAGAGCTTGGTGATCAGGCGCGTTGATTAAGATGGGATATAAAGTATATGGAACGGTGTATCGAGCTTAGATCTAGTTTTGGCGATCAAATTCCAATAGCATCGTATTATGGAAGTGATACAACAAGAACATGACGCTCTGCTAAATAATTGGAAACGCCTTATTAACGCAAACCTTGACACGCAATCATCACGCGTGGCCGGAGTTTTGGCCGGTACAAGCATTTAAAAAGTGGAGACCAAATGCTTAATCCGGCTTGGCAACGTGTCAGATCTACTTTCTTCCAAACCACAACAAGAACTCCATATAATGTTACCTTGACACGATTCACAACATAACTTACTGATACTGAGGGTTTTGCGTGTCCCGATAGGTTTATAGATAGACAAACTGTTTCCAATGATGGCCTTGCTATGTACGCAGAGGCGACTGAGGCCTTGTCGCAAATCCCGCAAGCCATCCCCCGCAACGTTGGCGCGGTATACAAGCGCCTAAGATCTATACCGGAAGAAGTGACAGTTCAGTGCCAGTCCTCCGACGTGTGGCGCAGGGACACGACACGCCACGACACCGCCGCGCGGCCATGATTTGCTGTAAGCCACTCACCTCTTTGACACTTTCAAGGGAGACAGGTCTAGCCGTGTCTGGTCTTACGGTTGCTTTGACGCATACTATTTTGAGCAGGTTGTAAATCCGGGGCAAAGGGGTCAAAATGCCTCATTACGAAAATGATACTAAATGTGAATGGTCACAGACAGGATGATGCGAAAGACCTCCCATTTCCGCTCTGTTCCTTGCCCTTTCCTCTTTGTTCGTCGCCCTTTTTCTCTTCTCGATTTTGGCCTCTACTAATCTCTCTCGACAATCACTTACTCGGATCATCCAAGGAACCGATTGAAAAGGATATGACCACGAGCGACGATCCCCAACACTAAACCACTCGCTACATCGAGGCTCAGACATGGACTCCAAAATCCTGATTGGAGATGCACCTCTTGACGCAGAACCTATCGCACCAGCATCAGTCACTACCTTACCACAATTGTTTCATCACACGGCGGAGACACAGCCCGATAACATCGCATACTCCGTACGGACTGAACACGGACTTCACACAATCACTTATGCCGAAGTGGATGCTAAAGCAGCGTCGTTGGCAAGATGCATCGCAGCTGCCACTCGACATGGCAAAGATGATAGCGTGCCAACAGTGGCCGTTTGGCTAGAGAAAGGACTCGAGCTCATTCTCGCTATTCTTGCCACAACCTACTCTGGCGCCACATGGCTTCCCCTGGATCCAGACGTCCCAGCTGAGCGCGCTGCCATCTGCGTGCTCGATGCTTCAGTATCTCTGATCATCAGTGACGCAGCACATGCTGACCAAGTCCAGGAGGTGTGTGACCGAGTTACCATAGCGAGATTGAGCGCTGCTATGCCGGCCCTACAATGTCGCACATTCTCTCAATTGAGTACTGAAGCACAATACCTACATGACTTCAACACTTCCACACATACGCCACTACCTGGTCCCCGACCCCACGATGCTGCCTACCTTATATACACCTCTGGAACTACAGGAACACCGAAAGGAATTGCTATACCCCATTCTGCTGCCTTAATGTTCTCTTTGAGCGAGCAGAAGGTCTTGGAAACGAGTCCGCAAGACATCGTCTGGAATGGTTTCAGTCCGGCGTTTGACATGTTTGTTGAAGAGATGTGGGTCACTATCGCAGGTGGAGGCCATCTTGCTATAGGTACTCGAGCGGAATGCAGAGATGTGCCAGCTTTGCCTTTGATATGGGCGAGCCGTGGTGTCACTCTTGTCAACGCCGTTCCGACTCTGATCGGCATCATGAACATCGCGCGAACAGACGATGGTGACTCTCTTCTTCCATCATCCGTTCGGTTGATCAATCTCGGTGGTGAAGCTTGCCCGCCTGCACTGGTGAGCCGTCTCGCAAGACCTGGCCTTCGAATCATCAACACATACGGTCCTACTGAGACCACCGTAACAGCAACTTGGGACGAACTTCAGCCTGATATACCTGTCACTATTGGCAAACCGCTACCTGGATATCATGCTTGTCTGCTTCCTGTCTCACAAGACGACTTACCAACTACCCTTGAGCCTGTCGAATGGCGTGAAGGTGTTGAGGGAGAGCTCGCCATTGGAGGGCCCTGTGTTGGCCTTGGCTATGTTGGACGCCCTGACTTGACGTCACAAAAGTTCATCGCTCATCCTTTGAGAGCTGGTGGTGAAGAGAGACTGTATCGCACCGGGGACCTCGTAAAGCTACAGGCGGATGGAAAGATAGTCTTTCTTGGTCGCATTGACACGCAAGTTAAGCACCGCGGTTTCCGTATCGAACTTGGCGAGATTGAGTCGCGACTCTACGGCGTACCGGACGTAAAGGCTGCGGCTGTGATATTGGCCAACGCCAACTCAGAGTCTGCCCGTCTAGAAGCTTTTGTTGTTCTCGGAGAAGGGGTTGTCCTTAATACCGCCTCCATCAGCCAGAGTGCATTCAATAGTCTGCCATCCTACATGCGCCCAGAGGAAATATTTTCTCTACAGGCGCACGAGATGCCTCGGCTTCCGAGTGGCAAGATCAACGCAAAAGCTTTGCAAGATGTTTCTGCAGGGATACATGCTGAAAGAGCAGTTGCGCGGCCGAGTTGTCACGGCGAAAACGACATCGACTCATTGGACTCGAGCTTTCCAGCGGATGGGGTTCTGGGCTTGATGCTAGATACTTTGTCGCCGTTGTTTCCGCAAGTGAATGTGAAG